GGACCCGCTTCGCTGAGCAAAAAGTAATGATAGTGAAGATTAAGATAATTACATTATAGCCAATCTTACCCGTTTTCACAAAATGCAAGAATTAGGTCCCCCGTTTCCAGACTAATTAGAGAATTTTTACGTCCAGTCAAACGAACTATTTTCAACGTTTCTGGAACGTTTACAATCGTTCTATAATCGAACCAATATTCGAATTTTATGTTCGAATTTAATTCGAATATTGTTCGAATTAAATTCGAACAAATTTGAACATAACATTCGAAATAGAAAAGCACTTTCAACCACTTTCAGCCCCATATCTCCCGCATCCTTATAGCTATCGAGACGCGACCCCCACAGTGCACGAATGGAGACTTGGGGCTACCACCACATACAAACACCATTCACGTGCGAAGTGTAGTTTTGGCGGAAAAGTGAAATATAGGGACATACACGTCCATTTATAGATATAGATATAGATTAGAATAAATATATAACACGATCAATCCTTTATTGTGACATCGTCACAATGCCGGGCTGCAATTTTTAATCATATTTTTGATTTATTTAATTTAAAACAAATTACGTAACACGAAAGTATATCGCTATTTAATTTTTCTGTGTTATAAAACATGTTTGTTTATAATAATCGAAATATTAATATATAAAATTACTTCACCTGACTGACTGATTGATTCATCATCGCCCAGAGCAAACCGCTGAACCTAAAGTGGTGAAATTTGGTACACAGTTAGGATACGTCATGAAAACGCACGCTAAAAAGGAATTTTTCGATATTCTCCCTGCTGGGGGACGGGAAGAGGATTAAGGCTTAACCTGAAGAACGGCTTCTACTGTATTATTTTAGATGCGATTTTTTGTTACGTTTAGTCTTTATTGAGTACTTATGTGTATTAAATTGATAACATTTATTAAGACATTGTTATAAATATTTTCATATATTTCGATTTTTTTACCAAATGTTCGAACCGTTTTAAATTCGAATTTGTTATTGCATATTAATTCCATTGTAGAACGATTGTAAACGTTCCAGAAAATTGATCAAATTGAAAACAGTTCGTTTGATTCTTAGCGAATCTCATTATTCTCAGCGGTAGGTGTTATATAATAATTAGTATAGTTGTTGAAACACTGAATATAAATGGTGTTTACTTGCAAAATCCGTGCGGGTAACAGCCAGTTAAATATATAATAAACACAAAAATATTAAATTTATAAAATAAACTTGGCAAAGTATTATGTACTGTACAAAACGGGATGTTTAACCAAGAACTTATTACAGGGTTGTAATCAAAATTATTCTTTAAATAGTCGAAAAGCTTGTGATAGGACCGAATATGTCTGTATGAACTATTAGTGGATAGCTTTTTCTCGAAGTTTTTCATTATTTTGTGTTGGGTATTTACAAGGTTAACGACTGTATAATGAAAGACACCGTCAACTGGTCTATCGCTAACTGGGTGCCAGACATCTGGGCGACAAAATGAGAGATCAATAATAGACAAAATACAAATTTTTTCCTGTATTCTATATAAAAATCACCATTCTATTGATATAATAATATCCGGTAAATTTAAATAATATATTTAAGGAACGAGTTAAAAGAACATTTTGTAATTATCAAATATATTTAACCGCTTCTGACAGAGTAATTAACGATGCTACTCTACATTGTTCCAAAACACTTTCTTTTTCTAATTTGGAAATAATTCTTTTACACATAATTCATAAATCATAACTCGTGCTTCATAAGTCTAATGTTTGTATTTATATATACTTTACTAATATTTACAAATATATATATATTCGCTAAATCGTATGCTTGCTAAGTGAAAAAATTTTTTTTGTAGCCCAGTTGTGGTGTAGCGAAACGGATGTTTACGATGAAAATTAGTTTCTGTGGTCATCTTAATATTATCCTTAGAAAATAACTGCAATAGTCCTAGAAAATAACTGCATCCAACCTAAACAAGCAAATATTAATGTACTTTAATAATTTATAAAGTAACATGTTTGAATTTTAAATTAAGTAATCGTGTGTTGTAATAGCAGAGAAAAAGAAGAAGGAAATTGCTCAGGGGTCAACTCTAGATTTTAAATGTATCAAATGGTCATGCAGTACATAAGCAACAGCATTATCCACATTTCATTGTAGTCCAAAAAGTTATCGTTTACTTTCAAAAACTTTTTATTTATCATCCACAAAATCTCTTCATAGAATTTTAGGAAATTTTAATATAGAATCTGAAATTAACAAAATGATTATCATTATCAGCGGAGAAAAAAAATCACAGAACTTACCAAGTGAAGCTTGCATTTTTTCCATTATCATTAGATGAAATGTGCATTTAAAAAGAGCTAATGTATGAGAAAAACAGAGAAATAATTCTAGTATATAAATTTATGTATTTATGTATTGATTGTATTGATTGTATTTATATTGATTGTATTCACTGGATTCAAATTATTATTATTGTGATCAATGTGCTAAATAATAATTATTGAACTGTTAAATAAACCAATAACAAAAAACTGTAATGTCGTAATGGGAGTCAAATAATATGTAAATCTACATTAAATGTTAATAATGTTTACCAACTTCAAGACATTGTAATATCAATAGTTCAAATAATAATCTATAATATTAAATATTAAAATGTTAAATAAATCAACAATCATACATTGTAAAAAATATAGTAGATGTCAGATATGTAAATTTATATTGTAGAAGTTATGTAAATTCGTATTATATTGTGAATGTGTATCAAAAGAAATAAGGATTTTGTAGAAAGCATAATCAATTGTACACCAATTTGATAGTTGTTGTCCAGTGTATGTTTATATCAAGAATATGTTTTATAGTTTATATTGGTTATATAATAAGTTTATGTCCAGAATATGTTTTATATCAGGGATTTTGTAGAATTGTTTTGTAAGTGAAAGGTACGTTTTATATTTTTATGATTTCTACAATACTTGTGTTTTTATATGTATGTTATATTCTTTTTTAATGTTTTAGTTGGCTGAAGAGGGGCTTAAGAACCCGAAACGTGTAAAAATTTTCACACGTATCAACTAAATAAAGATGAGAAAACCCGCCATGTGTCTTTAATTTATAACACTTTATTGTGTTAGAAGCATAAACAAATTGTAAAGCACGGTTTCATATCATCAAAATCTAGTAAATAAAGTTTTCTAGTTTACAGTTATCAGAGTTCATGATGACAAAACGAAAAAGTGACAAGCGAGTGCTTCTGGTGAGTTACACCTAATACCAATGAGGACTCGCAAATCTCGAAGTAAGGATAAGTTAAGGAAATGATTAATTTCAAATTAGATAAAGCTCGCTTTTAACAGTTTTTTTTACTGTACATTTCATGTTGTACGAGGGTTTTACGCAATTCTCGAACCGTGTTACAAAGAATTCGTGCTATAGAAGCGGGTTATACGGGGGTTACCTGTAATTATACTTCCTATTTGCAAAATTTCGTCAACTTTAACACAAAATAAAAAAAAAGTGAATTTTTAAGAAAGTTGCGGGATTTCCAGGAATACTTCTCGGGTTAAAAAAGTCCGAAATCCCGTTGGAGAAAGCCTAGTTTGGACGAATTGCGTGATTTCCGCGGAACTTTTCTGGCTATACACATGCATTAACGTTAATATGTAGGATAAAACCTAATATTCTCGTGTTTTGTGATGATCATCTCGTTTAAAGATGAATAAAAATTTCGATTTTATCATGACCTTTACAACCGAAAAAAATAAAGTTAAATTATGGTAACCCCAATTTTATGTACATTTGTAATTTACGTGAGCGACGCGCTATAATCTATTAATTTCAACCACTCCCGGCGCCTGCACGCCTCAAACGACTGTCCTCATTACGGCGCGCCGGAAACTGCCTTACACTACTGGCTACTCCGCCCAGACTTGGGCAGAGCTCTGTCTTTGGATCTCAATATCGGCCGCTCATTTACTCCAATTCACTGGCCGTATGCCCATCTCCCCCTCGCCAGCACGTGGAGGCCTTTGAACGTTTTAATTATCAGACAAACCGCTTCGCCTAAACGCAAGGCAGCGCGCGGAGAAAAAGTCACCAGACTACAGTCTCCATATGAACCCGAGAATACAAAGACAGAAAGAAAAGAAAGAAAGAAATCTATTAATAAAATTGAACATTTAGGTTAGGTTAGGTGTCCGAATTTTATAGATAAAAGCTTATACATCATTGGGACATTAACGCTCTAAAATATATAAAAGATAATGAGATCTATTGAGTGACTCAACAATCCTCATAAACCTCTGAGAGACTGATCCGATTTTACTGTTTCAGAACGGTGACCACATTGAGCAGTAGCCTCTTCTTCTTTGTTCCTGAGTATAGAGGAATGTATTGCTATTCGCTTTTATTCCGAAAAGAAGAGAGACAGGAGAGATAAATCGCAAGGCGGCGGAAGAGCTAGCCTTATAGAAGACGGCAGGAAGATACACGAAGGGGGAAAAAATGCCTTCTGGGAAAACTTTTATGGGGAGATGGCCCCTATTTAGGCGTCATCTTAGGCGTCATCTGCAAAAAAAAGAACAACCCAGAAAACTCCAAGCTACTAGCCTGACCAATCCAGGCGCAAACCCACAACGAACTCTCAGTGTTTAGCGACTGGTCACACCACTATGAGCGAAGACAGAGTCCACTCGGCCACTGGTGGTCTAGCAGTAGCCTCTGCGTGGTAAGGACTCTCTATAGCACGAGTCTCTCCAACAAATAAAAACATTTGTTGATTGCAGCGCCAAAAGTGATACAGTGGTATTTTAATAAAAAGACTTTTACGGAAATGTCTTTCGATGTACTGAAATGTCACCATACAATATTTTCTTGCATTTGGACTGCTAAATTAATTTAGAGGCAACTTTAAACAATGTACTTTAATTACGATCAGCCGATACTTTAAACTCGACGTACTCGACGTAACAATGTATTAATAACGAAACAATATTCTAAATTCAATAATAATTTTTCTTATAATTTTACTTATTTTACTTGTCTTAAAATTAAAAATTTATTTACCATATATGGATCAAATAACAGTATATTGCGAGGACCAACGACAAATAAATTTCTCAAAATCCGTTTTATGTGAACATAACGAAAGAATAAGAATTCTGCTACGTCCTTATTCAAATAAAACGTCAGTGTTTCTTTACTTGCCATACTCCTTGGATATTTTACAACAAATTAAAGAGTGAGTCTCTGTAATTATCTATTTAATACTTACGATGACATATTCTAATTTGCATTAATATCGTTATCTTCGGCTATAACGATAATTACCATCAGTTTTAAATCGTATACATTAGTTATTATTATAGTTCCGTTTTAATTATATTGCCTGTTTATAGATATCTGGAAGAAAAACGAGAAAACATAAAATCAATCAAAAATGCGATGGACATATTCCGCGTAGGCAAACGATTAAACATACGTGATTTAAATAGAGTATGTCGGGAATTCATGACCAATCTGTCAAGAGTTAAGGACGTGTGTTATGTATATGAATTTGCATGTCAACTGGACGATTGGAGATTAGAATATTTATGTTGGAATATATTATGTTCGAAATGGCAGGAAATTTTTTCATCGGACGAATGGCTGAACTGTAAAGCAACAACTATTGATAGACTCGTTCGCAGGCCAATAAATCGATTTATTGAGGAAGCAGATGTATTTTCAATAGTTTTAAAATGGGCCAAGAAAAGCGTTAATAATGAAAAATCTCTTAGGAAAGTCATGGAACCATTCCTTCCGTACATACGATTTCTGACAATGCCTGAATGGTTTCTGGAATCGCAAGTATTCGTTGAACCGATCTTAACGGACGTAGAAAGAGATGCAATAAGATGTTACTTGCAAAATAAAGATTTCGACGACACATGGTTTATTCCAGACAGTATTTGTGCCATTAAATGCCCAAGAAAGAACGAATTGCTCTCTTCCTGGTTGTCCTACGTAAATCGAAGTGCATATTTTATTAACGCAGTAAAAAGAATGAATAGAAATATTCGATTCATATGCGAAATAGTTGTTAAGGAAGATTGTTTTATCAACGAATTGCATCTTCCTATAACACATTGCAGGAAAGAAGGAATAACCGTAATCTTGAATATTTCTCCTAACTTGAAGTTACCGACGGAATATCGTTTCAGAAAAGCATGTAATACGAACGGATATATTTTATCGAGTTGTCCTCTACGGATTCTAAAGTTTACATTTTATCGATTGATTGTTAGAATTGTAGAGACATACATCACTGCAGAAAATGACATAAGAATCAGTCTCTCGGAAAATTACTACAATCCGTTCGAAGGAATTCAAAGTTTTAAATATTTGCAATCTGGATTGAAATTGCAAGATGAATTTGAGTATATCTGCTTCGATGTCGTACCCGAATTTTGACTCAAGATACTGAAATCCGTTTTCGTTTTTATTATATAATGCTAATTTCGTAATGTCTAAAAATTATATATTTTGATTTCGAATAATTAAATTTAATTTTCACTATTGAAGTTTCGTCAATTATTTCGGTTTTAATTTTTGGATGTATCGCTCTATGGTCACAAAGAAAACCTTTTCTTCCCAGAGCATTGTAGTTTCGTTGTATTGGGAGCGATGTGGTGAGGGACGGGGCGCGACACATCCAGATCGAATCTTCAGCGAAAAATGTACGAGCTGATTCACGCGTATTTGATAACGAATTATTCAGACCAATAATCCGGCAACTTCTTCGATTGTCGTCTTCGTGAATAAACGGATTAAAATTAGGACCCTCTAGTGCTGTTTTTCTCCCTTAGCAGATACAATAGCAACGAAACTAAATATCTTCAATAACTGAAGATACTCATGAAATTTCTGAATGACTAAGACGAGATATCCTGCATACGAAGTTTCGTTATTTTGATACTTATTTCTGATCACAACTGACTACACTCAAAGCAGTGGCGCCCCGCCCCAGGCGGCACTTTTTAGGGGGCGGCAAAATTTTACAATAAATAATAATAATATTTTGTAAAAACTTGAACCATTTCATCACATAATTTTGTAGCACCTACGATTCGGACCGATTGAAATGAGCACGAAAAGTGTCATCATCCGGACAGTCCGGGATTTCGTGCACAACCTGTTGACATTTTTTGTTTTTTTTTTCTTTTGCTTGTACAAATCATTCGTATTCATATACACCTCCGATGTCCAAAACAGCTAAGTCATCTTGGTTACTTACGTTACTCCTACCCGATTCTTACTAATCGCTAACTGAACCGGCATGCACTGCACATTATTCTTCGCATTGCAAAATCACATACGCATGCATCAAGAACTTCTGTTCGAACAAACCTCACCTGCCGTCCGTGTCAGCGATTTTAAAAAGGTGGCAACTCTAGCACGGAATTTTTCATTACTTATTCTGTGACGAAACTAAATTTTAGTTTTTTAAGTTGAGATACCTAAATAAGGGGAGGGCGAAATTTTCCTTTGTCCCGCACGACTGACATCCACGCTACGCCACTGACTGAAAGCTTTTAAAATGCAATAAAAATGAAATTCTTAAAAGCACTTCCAGCCAAATTACACTATTCCTGTTTTAGGCAATGGAAATACATTAAATTTTATTTTATTTGCAATTGCAGTATTTTCGAAGAAAAAAGTAAAGTGGAAATTTAAATTAATTATATTTGAATAAAATCTGTATATTCTAAAATAAATATTTTCTAGACTAAAACAAGTAAATATACTCTTTACATCCGACTTCGAGAGATTCAAATGCAGACAAATGAATAATGATAAATACTAAACTTTTATACTCAACAGTTCCATTCTCAGTAGATTCACAAAAACCAAGTCCGATAAAGTTTTTTGAACGCCTCAACCGGTAAAACCGATCTGGCATCCGGTACAAACTATTCCTAAACAACACCCTCATCGGGTGGGAGACAAGTCCCCCAGCCCAGGTGCCAAGTAAGTAGCTACCAAGCACAAAAATCGCCATCATCACCTGGCTCAAAGACTAGGCTAGGCCTTGATGAGCCTTTCTATAAGGCCTCATTAGTGAATACAATTAACTGCCGATTGATGTTCATTTAATGTCTGGTGATCTCTTGCCATCATGCATCTACATTCATTCCTTATTCAAATTTATTATATTTGCATATGTTATAATACAAAAATGTTCTACAATTCTTTTTTATTTTAATAAATTTTGCATTTATTTTAAAATAAATGCAAAATTTAATACTTTCGGTGTAAGACATTCCGATAAACAAGTATCACTTCGATTTATTTAATATCGAACATAAATTTTAATTAAAATAATTAAAGTATATTCAGCAAGTTTCATAATATAATGATAGAAATTCTTGTATTACACATGAGTATTGTTGCCGGGGAGTGTCCAACAAGCATATTCAGATAATAGCTTATTTCCATATGAAAACCTAATACATATTAGTTTTAGTTGTAGTTTAGTTGAACCCTTACGACTAGTTTTTTTTTTATTTTGTATAAAATAGCGGTCACATTTTGCGATTTCCAGCCGCGCTGGCAACTGCAACCGCGACAGTAACTGTCGCGGTTGCAGTTGCCGGTTTTCGAAGGTGTTTACTAGTTATCGAGTGTAACACTCGATAACTAGTAAACACCTTCGAAAACCGGCGCGACTGCAACCGCAACTAGAAACATAAAGTTTGTTCTATTGGCGCCGATTGAAAACGCGTACGCAATCAGCAAACGTCTTTGCGCCAAGTCATACGTTAGCATCATTGAAAATAGTTCATCATCACGGCAGAAAGAAAGAGGATTGATACTTTTACATAATCGAGATTGATACAGCTTATTTCGTTCATGAATACCTGTGGGATTTTAATTCATTTTTCGTTTCATCGAAGATTTTATCTCTTCGCATACTCTCGCCAGCCATAACAAAGTGATCGTGTTTTTTCTTTTATTCATTGAAGAAAAGGAACTGCTTGCCATTTTAATGAGTAAAGTGGCTAAAATTCCGTAAATACACTGAAGTAGAACGTAAACTTTCGGTAAACTTACGATAGGAGTCGAAAACAATCTACTGTTACTTTTACAAATAATTGCTGATTATTTTGATTATTAATATTTATTACTCATACTCATGTAATCGATTATTACTGTACATCCCTTTGGTTTATTAAAGGTAGTACATTGATAATTGATTGTTTGTGCTTATTATCACCGGTGTGTTAAGTCCTTATTATTATCTACTCTACATTAGAAGATATTTTATTTAATTTACTGTAATTTTAATGGTTTATTATGAGGCCACGTGTTTCCGAGTCGCAAAGCCAAGGAACAATATGACCATGAAAATATCGTACAACTCGAGCATGTTTCAGTTGCCGTCGCCTGCTCTGTTGGAAATCGCTAGGTGTGACCACTGTTTAAGAGGTTGTTTGATATCCGACAGCATGGAAATTTCTCACGCACAAGAAATTCACAAGGCTTATCTCAGTCTAAAGCGTTTTTATTTCTAACTGAGAAAAGACTAAGGCCATTGTATCTTTAATTTCATAATAATAATAATCATTTGAAATTTATAAGTAAGTAAATACAATAAGGAAACTTGTTTTTCACAGCGTACAATACATAAAAAAAATTGACACACGTGGCCACTTGTTGTTTAGAGTCTACTAATACCGGAACGTTTTGCGCAAGAGATTCAACATTAACATCACGTGGCCTCTTTGTGATATCACGGATGACAGATGCTACTACAAACCAATGAACATTTTACTTAGAACAAAATCTATGTCACTGCACTCCAGTATTGTTCTATTGGGCGTGGTCGCCATACGTGTACCAGGCTATGAACGGCTCGTGTATTTGTAAAATCTAAGTTACTCGTACAACATGGAATTCATATAAAACGGAATAATCAACAGTGTTATAGGGGGGTCGACTTTACTGAACTGCACTGATTCAATAAAATATCAATAATTTAAATTTCCACTTTGCTTTAAAAATACTACAATTGCAAATACAATAAAATTTAATGTATTTCCATTGTCTAAAGTGGAAAGAGTGTAATTTGGCCTGAAGAAATTTCAAGAATTTCATTTTCGTTACATTTGAAAAGCTTTGAGTGTAGTCCGTTGTGATCAGAAATAAGTATCAAAATAACGAAACTTCGCCTGTAAGATATCTCGTCTTAGTCGTTCAGAAATTTCATGAGTATCGCGAGTTATTGAAATTATATAGTTTCGTTGCTATAGTAGATGCCAAAAGAAAGACTAGACAGTCCTAATTTTAATACGCTTATGCACGAAGACGACAATCGAAGAAGTTGCCAAACTGTTGGTCTGAACGATTCGGTATCAAATTCGTGTGAATCAGCTAATACATTTTTCGCTGATAATTCGATCCGGATGTGTCGCGCTCATCTCTCACCATCTCTCACAATACGATGGACAAAACTACAATGGGTCTGGTCTGGTAAGAAAATGTTTTATTTGTTACCATAGAGCGATACATCCGAAAATTAAAACCTAAATAATTGACGAAACTTCAATAGTGAAAATTAAATTTAATTATTCGAAATCAAAATATATAATTTTTAGACATTACGAAATTAGCATTATATAATAAAAACGAAAACGGATTTCAGTATTTTGTGTCAAAATTCGGGTACGACATCCAAACAGATGTACTCCAATTCATCTTGCAATTTCAATCCAGATTGCAAATGTTTAAAACTTTGAATTCCTTCGAATGGATTGTAGTAATTTGCCGAGAGACTGATTCTTATGTTATTTTCTGCAATGACGTCTGTCTCTGTAATTTTAACAACCAATCGATAATATGTAAACTTAAGAATTCACAGAGGACCACTCAAAAAAATATATCAGTTCGTATTACATACTTTTCCGAGATGCAATTTCGTCCGTAAGATCAAGTGAACATAAAAATTCAAATATACAGATATTCCTTCTTCCCTGCTATGTGTTATAGGAAGATGCAATTCGTTGATGAAACAATCTTCCTTAACAACTATTTCGCATATGAATCGAATATTTGTATTCATTCTCCTTACTTTGTTAATAAAGTATGCACTTCGATTTATATAAGAGAACCAGAAAGAAAGCAATTCGTGCTTTCTTGGGCGTGTAATGTCGCAAATACTGTCTGGAATAAACCATGTCTCGTCGAAATCCTTATTTTGCAAGTAACATCTTATTGCATCTCTCTCTACGTCCGTTAAGATCGGTTCAATGAACACTTCAGATTCTAGAAACCATTCAGGCATTGTCAGAAATCGTATGTATTGAAGGAAAGGTTTCATCACATGCCTTAGAGAATTTTAATTATTAATTCTTTTCTTGGCCCATTTTAAAACTATTGAAAATACATCTGCTTCCTCAATGAATCGATTTATTGGCCTGCGAACGAGTCTATCCATGATTGTTGCTTCACAGTTCAACCAATCGTCCGATGAAAAAATTTCATGCCATTTCGAACTTAATATATTCCAGC